AAAACCCCAGGCATCAAGAAGTTAAAATAATTTACTTTCCACGGTAACAAACTGAAGCACAATTAGCGTGAAGTTACTATGTGTAAACTCATTCCTGACACTGAATTCTATCTTCTTTTATGAATGACATCAGCTTGTAACTCCTGACCAAAATGGCATATGGTAATGGCTCTGAATGATGAACAATTAAAACTGTCTTTAGGGCAGAGAGGTTCCAAAGATATGATAAAAACCATTTAGAAGCATATCATAAAACAGCCTGCTGTACGTTTTCTCACTATCTCTTACCTATGTACAAATGTAGGTAGCTTTTTAGATTGTGCTGACTCACAGGCACATAGCTTGGAGTATTTTTCAAAGGTCAGAAAGAGATCTCCAAGCTGAGCTTGAAACTCGAAAGCCTTGACACCTCACTCCATTCATGAACCCGATGCCTCCCTAATCGATCGGCACCAAGCGGTTATCAGAGGCTGAGCACCAGGGGAACCCCAATGGCCTCTGTCTACAAGAGTTCACATATTACCGCAGACGTTTCATAGGGGTGGCCTCCTTTACCCTGTGAGTCAACCAGGGCGGCGGACACGGTTGAAAAGGGGAAATCTCCCCTTTTACGCAAGGCATTCTCAAGGGCAGGGACAGGAACTGTCCCAGGTCAAGACTATTAGCAGCTACGGAACAAGGAAGAAGCTGGAGCACTTCCTCCCTGGGCTCTCAACCGGGGCCCAGACAGCCCGGATCTTGCACACCCCTTCTAATAACAATTGCCCTGGGAGCCCCAGCTCAGCCAGCGGCCCGGCTCCCCGTCCCGACCCCCGCCCAGGCCGCGCCGCCCACTCTCGCACATGCGCACCTCTGGAAGACCCCCGAGTCCAGGGCCGCACGCAGGACCCAGCCAATAAGCGGGACCCCCGCCAGGTGCTTAATGTTCTTCAGGGGGATGCCCTTGCTGCCGCCCCGGGCCAGAATTAGGGCCGCCAGGTGCGGGGGCTTCTCCACACCTCGACCCTGGCCTCCGCGGGAGTTGCGCTGCAGTTTCGGCGGCCGGCCCCGGGAGGGCCGCCCCCGCGGGTTGGAGACGGAGGTGGCGGCCCCCTTCTCCACCGAGTCCATCTTCCTCCCACGCCTTCTCCCCAGCTTCTCCACATCCGGGAGCTCTTCTCTCGCTACCTCAGCTCGGCGCCGCCCGATCTCCCCGCCCGACAACTCGCGGGGGTGGCTGTTCCTGGCCCCGCCTCCGCCAGGGGCCGCCCCTCGCGAGGCATGCCGGGAATTGTGGTCCGGGGCCACCTCGCCTGGATCCACAGGCCAAGGAGGCTCGGGCAGGGCGGCCCCAAACACACGCCAGGCGGTGAGAGTTGAGAGATAACTGCAAAGAACTTCAGCTTCTAGAGGGAGGGGGTTGATACTATACGGAGGTGTCTAAAATAGGCAACATAGATTATAGATTTATTGCTAAAGAACTTCCCCACTTAAGAATTGTAATGGGTTTCCCACTGCGCATTAAGATCACCCTGACACAAATCAATCTTGTATTTTAAAATTACGTTTTAAACATATATCTTTCTATGTTCCTGACTCTTTATTTCCAAGAGATCACCTCATCCGAATGTCCCACAGGCACCTTAAATTCAACGTGTAAAACCTCAACTCTCCGTATGGGCTCAAACTGCTACTACCTCTGCATTTTCTATCATCATCGCTAAACATCTAGTATCAAAAGCTTGGAAATCAACCTTGACTATTCCCTTGAAATGTAGTAACAACCTATTCTTGGTGTTTTTGGTTGTTGTTATTTTTTGTTTTGTCTGCTAAACATCTTTTCCTTTTACACATTGTTACTTGCATTATCTGGTGGGGCTTTCACTCACATCCTCTGCATTGCAGCCGTGGGTGTGTGACCTGAGCTAGTCAATATAGTATCTCATCTGCCTGACTTAGCTGTGGTCTAGGGAGGGGCATGTGACCAAGCAGAGCCCATTGGAATCCTTCCCAGAGACTCTGGAGAGGAAAGGATTTTTCTCTTGCTGAGTTTTCGGGTACTAAGAACACTATAACTCTGACTCCTCAGGGCAGGATGAGGGAGGGAGAGTGGGGGGGTTGCTGTTCTGAAATGGGCTGAGAGACAGATGTTCACACAGAAGAAAGCAGGGCTAAAACATGCAGGGAGAAGAGAGAAAGAGCCCCGATGGTATCATTTAAACCTCTTGATCCACCAAGAAGTTCAAAACCATGTATACACATGCACACACAATCTCTTTTTTATAGATTTTTGGGAAAGTGTTTCTGACCTAACACACATTTTGTTTTTCACCACTTTGCAAGCCTGAATCTAGAAATACAAAGAATCTCCTTGTCTCATAGAGACTAACGTATCCAGAAGGAATGGGAAGTGGTATTGCTGTTTCTTATCAAGGGGGGTAAAAAGGCCTTTGTGCTTCTCAGGTCTTGACTCTTTCTGAAAGGGAGACAACAAGCCTCTAGTGTTTTAGGTCTTAGGAGGGGCACTGGAAACTTCACTTCTCTTTGGCTGTGAGGTGGCTGATGGACTAACCCTTCCAGGGACTGGTTCTGGGAGAAGGTGCTACACTGGCAAATGTGGGGAAGGATGGCTATGGATATATCAGTGCATGCCTGGAGAGAGGATATAGGCTCCAAGAACCATCCCAGAAGTCTAGGCCAAATGGTCAATTTGCCCCCACGCACTGGCTCTTTGAATAGAACCCTTGCAGTTATTGTGCTTTATTTTTTTTTTTTTTTTTTTTTTTTTTTTTTTTTTTTGGTAACCATGTGAGGAGGACATCTACTGCTTCTTACACACCACAACTCTTTTTCCTTTCCACCTCAATAACAACCTTAGTTCCCACTACCGATACAGCTGACATTCTCCACAGTAATTCTCTAGGGTTCCATAAACCCTACTGGGCCTCCAGCACCGCAGTAGTTTGACTCCTGTGACACATTGGTGTCCTCCAAAGTGGAGACATGACAGGTGCCACTGATGTTACTTATCAAAGGGATTGCAGCAATTCGCATAAATGCTGTGAGAGCGTGGACTACTCCAGGAAGACTGTTCCTTCTTTAGAATGGCATCTAGAATACTGTGTGAGTCAGAGTATGTGTTCAGTAAATGTCAGTGAACTGCATTTCGTATTACTTTCCCAGTCTCTGCCCACACATTCTTTTGTTTATAGTTGCAGTCTTATGATAATAAAGCATTTTGTGTTCTTTGTATTGTTACAGTACAATTTTGGTTAGACTTGAGAAGTGGCTGATTTCAATCTTGAGAGAGAGAGCAAGACAGCGAGAGCATGGTAGTAAAAATGGAAAATAATTCCTCTAGTTCCATATATGGCACATGGAAATATGATAAATATTTTTTTCAGGGGCACCTGGGTGGTTCAGTCAGTTGAGCATCCTACTCTTGATTTCGGCTCAGGTCATGGTGCAAGCCTTGCATTGGGCTCTGCACTGACAGTGCACAGCCTGCTTGAAATTCTCTCTCTGCCCCTCCTCCACTTGCATGCACTCTCTCTCTCTCAAAAATAAATAAACATTTTTTAAAAAAATATATTTTTCAGTAAAATTAGAGAATGCTTATTTAATGTATTTTTCTTCTGTCTAATCAACAGGCATAAAGTTTTAGTTAAGCAAGATGAATAAACTCTAGAGATCTGCTCTACAACATTGTACATATAGTCAACAATAATTTATCATACACTTAAAAATTTAAGACAATAGATCTCAGGTTAAGTATTTTTATCGCAATACAATAACTTTTTTTTTAAGAGAAAGAATGACTTACCAGGGGAAAAAATGTTAGCTTGCCTTTAGATTAGTGTGGAGGAATAAAAATAAACCACCCTCAAAGCAAATATTCGGATTCATCCTTCCCTTAGAGATGAGTGTGAAGTGTTGTTGCCAAATAATAATTCATTCATGTTTATAGTGAAAGAACATATTTTTATATTAACTCTTGTTTTATGGTTCTGTATATGAACATAATGCACAGAGGAGTCCTTTCATTCATTACTTGTTCACATTCATTGCATTCTGTAAGGTGGGTGTTGTGCTGGACTTTAGAAATACCAAAGCAAGATGACCAAGACACAGAGCTTAGAATTCTGATTCTGTTTGAAGACAAGCAAACCCTGTAGAGTGTGGTTTGTATAGTGAAGGAAGTGCATGTGCTGAGGTAGGCCAAGAAGTATTTAGGTGAGAAGGAGATTTTTCTTGGCTAAGATAACTCTTGAAATACTGTTAAAGCAGAAGAATGTTCTATGCTGAGGGAACAGCATTGTGGGAGGCACAGAGGAATGAAAGAGCATTATAAATGGGGAAACTTTAAGTAGGTCACTATAATTGGAGCGATGATGCTTGCTGGTTAGTGGCAAAACATGCAGGGTGGCTGGGTAGCTCAGTCAGTTAAGTGTCTAACTCTTGGTTTTGGCTCAGTTCATGATCTCACAGTTCATGAGTTTAAGCCCTGCATCTGTCTCTGTGCCGATGGTGGAGGGCCTGCTTGGGATCCTCTCTTTGCCTCTCTCCCACTCATTCTTTCTCTCTCAAAAACAAAAAACAGAAAACAAAAACAAAAACAAATGTGCAAGAAGAGACGAACACATGGACCCCATTACAGCACATCAAGGTATTATGGGCCAAGCTGTGCTAAGGAATTGATAAAGAGCAGGGATATGACATAAATGACTTTGTTCATTCTTTCAACAAATCATTATTGCATGACTGCTGTGTGTCAGGTACTTTTCTGGACATTCGAAGAATAAACTGAAGACGATGTAAAGAGTTTAATATCTGAATATATCTTAAAAGTATAACGAGTATAATTTGCTGACAGACAGCAGGATGTTTGGCCTGACCATTAGCAGGAGGGAGCTGTTATTAACTGCGATGGAAAAGACTGTAAAAGGACCAATTTAAGAGAAAAATCAGGAATTCTGTTTTGTGTATGTCATTATGAAACACATGTTAGACATCCAAGAGATATAAAAGTGGGCTATTGAATATATGGTCTGGAGTTCACAAGAGAGGTCTAAGGGATAAATGTAACTTTGGAGTTATCAGCATACAGTTATTCAAACCCATAATACTAGATGAGATGTAGCAGGTGATGGTAGATAGAAAAGACAAGGAGCTAGATGAGATCAGGTAAAATGAAAAGCTGATAGAAAAGAAGACCAAAGACTGAGCCTGGGGGACTTCTACCATGTAGAAGTTCAAGAAACGAAAAGGAGGCAACAAAAGAGACAGAATGGCCAAAATTTAGAAAGGTAACCAGTGTGGTAGCCTGACATCGAAATGAGCAAAATTGTTGGAGGAAGAAAACGTGATCAATTATACCAAATGCCAGGATGATCACATAAACAGAGACTGTTATATTTAGCAATGTGGAGTCATTAGTAATATTAAGGAAAGCTGGTCCACAGGCTTGGTTGTGGCAAACCCTCAACCAGAGTGGATGAAAGAGGAAATGGGAGGAGATAAGGCAGAGATTGTGAGTACAGGCAACTAAAGAATTTTGGGGTAAGGACAAAAGAGGAAAAGGGCAGGAGTGGAAGGGCTAAATGGGGTCAAAAGAGGTTTTTATTTCTTAAGAGGTGGGAAATCATAGCATCTTTGCATGGTGATAAGGGGAATTGGAAAAGGAAAAAAATATTGACGCAGAAGAAAGAGGGAAGAATTACTGCCTGTCCTTTAGTAGACCACAGGAGATGTGATCTAATTCTAGGTGGCAGGACTGGCTTTGGCTAATAGAAGAGAAGATGGACTTTAAGGGCACATGTTCCAGTGTGTGGGTTAATGTGGTACCAAAACCAGACAAGAGATCATAGGAAAAGTACAGACCAATATCCCATGTAAATATGGACACAAAAGTCTTCAAGAGAACTAGTGTATTAGTTTTCTATGGCTGCCCTAATAAATTACCACTAACATGGTGGCTGAAAACGACAGAAATTTATTATCTCACAGTACAGGAGGCCAGAGGTCTGAAATCAGTATCTCCGTGCTAAAGTCATGTGTCAGCAGGACAGGGCTCCTCTGGAGGCTCTAGGGGAGAAACCATTCCTCGCTTTTTCTAGTTTCTGAAGGCAGCTTGAATTCTTCACCTTGTGGCTGCATCACCCCAAACTCTGCCTCCATGGTTATATTATCTTCTCTTCTCCTGTTTGTAATCTCTCTCTGCCTCTTTCTTATTAGAATACTTATGACTGAATTTGGAGCCCACTCAGATAATCCTTGATAATCTTCTCATGTCAAGTCTTTAATTTAATAACACCTGGAAAGTCTTTGTCCTGTAAGATAACATTTCTCTGGGGCTGTCAGAGAACCCAACGTCTTAATTCCAGACTCATTCTTTCCTTCTGTTGAATTTTGTTTCAGGGGCCCAACTATCCCCTTTGAGAGTCCCCTCTCAGTCCCCCAGGCAAGTGTATATAAATGAACCCCCACCACAGACACTAGGTGAATTCATTTACCAGATGCTTCCTTCTGCCTCTGTGTAGGTTAGTTTAACTTGTATAAAAACTGTGGAAGGTATATCATGCACTATACCTAATCTGTACCATGGTGCCATCTAACAGCCAGGTATAAATTTCAGTTCTGGCTTAAGTCGGACCATTTTTTTTAATGCTAGAATTAATTGAGATATCATAAAAGTGCCTAGCCCAGAATCTAGCACATAATAAAAGATTGGTGAATGGTAGGACTCATTATAATTTTTTAATGTTGTTTAATCTCACCAGCAAGTGGGTAGGAATGAGTCACACAAACATCTAAATCTAGCAATCAGTCAGTCTCCAGGGATGAAAGAATCCAGTCCTGTAAGAATTCCCCTTTCTGTTTGTATTTCTTTGAGTGTTTAAGGAATATATGCTCATGAAAATGAAAGTCCTGGCTGTCATTTACAGTTTCAATTGCTAGAGACCTACAGCCCCTGGAGACTTTACTTCTATTGTTGGAGCAAAGGTAACACTTGGTAACTAGAGTTTTAATGTATAGATTTTTACTGAGTTATAATTACAATATATGTATGTTTTATATTCTGTTTTTGTTTATATATATTGCATTATAAACTCTTTAAACTTATTGTTAAGCATTATTTAAAAATCACTGTAAGTTGACAGAATATAATTTATTTCACAATCCCTTATTGCTGAAATTTTTATATGAGGTAATAATCCCTAGTTACTGCATATAAATTTGTAATTATGTAGGTGATAGTTCCTGGAACAGATTTCTAGAAATGAAATTACTTGATCAAAATGTACTGATTATCTTCCTTTGAATCCAAATTAAATTTCAGTGCTATCTGGGTATTCTGGCAACTATTACTAGTTATGTTTAAGTTATCTCTCGCTGTATAATAAACTAACCTAAAATATACCAGCTTAAAACTACAAATACTTATATCTCACGGTTTCCAAGGGTCAAAGAGCTGGGTTCCATCTCAGAGTTTCTCATGAGGTTTCACTTAAGATCTCAAATGGAGCCACAGTCATCTCAGGGCTTGATAAGAGCTAGATAATGCAATTCCAACATGGTTCACCCACATGACTGTGGGCAGGCCTCAGTTTCTTTTTTTTTTTATTTAAAAAAAAATTTTTTTTTTCAACGTTTATTTATTTTCGGGACAGAGAGAGACAGAGCATGAACGGGGGAGGGGCAGAGAGAGAGGGAGACACAGAATCGGAAACAGGCTCCAGGCTCTGAGCCATCAGCCCAGAGCCCGACGCGGGGCTCGAACTCACGGACCGCGAGATCGTGACCTGGCTGAAGTCGGATGCTTAACCGACTGCGCCACCCAGGCGCCCCAGGCAGGCCTCAGTTTCTTGTTGGCTATTGGACCAAGGTCCTCAGGTCTTTGCTGACAAAGGCCAAAGCTCTCCCTCAGTTCCTTGCCACATGGATCTCTCCTTGGAGCAGCTCACAATATGGCAGCTGTTTTCCCCAGAGCAAGTGATTCAAGAGAGAGTGAGAAACAGAGCAACCAAGGTGGAAACGATAGTATCTGTTAAAGGCCTAGTCTTTGAAATTGCACACTGTCACTTTTCTATTTTTTTTTTTGTTAAAAGTGAGTCATTAAGTCCAGCCCACACTCAAGGGGAGGGAAACTGGACTCCAATTTTGGGGTGGCACATCAAAGAATTTGTAGGCATATTTTTAAAATCACCATAACCTAGGAGTTGGGCCGTCCTTCCTTCCTCCCATTCCTTCTTCCTTCTCTCCTTATTCCCTTCCTTCTTTCTTTTCTTCCTTACCCATTCTTTTTACTTGTTGAAGAAAGGAGGGTGTCCACCCTGACCTCATTCCTGAGAAGGATCCCCAGAAGACTAGATTAAAACTTCCAAATAGGCAAAAAATTGGTAGAATTTTCATAAGCCCATGATAGAACCAACATGGTCCTCAAATCATAGGAGTTCCCAGATAGTGTGATGACAGTGGCTGAAGGGGAGAAATTTCAACCATAGCCAGACCCTATTGCTGGCACATAACTCAGGATGCGCCTCCCTTGAGGAGAAGAGATAATAAGCAGTGTGAAAGAATCCTGAATAAGAGGGCTTCCACAGTAAACAAAATTGCTAACAGTTTGGTGTTTACGGCCTTGTAATTATTAAGATTTGAATTGGCATTTGATACCTCGGATGAACATATCCATTTTTGAATTTAAATCAAATGATTAAACACACATGGATTTGTTAATGCTAAGGAAATTACTCCAAAAAGCAGGGTGGAAAGGAACTGCAGAAAATAAACTTGAAAACTTCTGTGGAGCAAGAGAGAGAAAGGTTAATCTGCAGGGAAATGCCACTGTGGAAACTTGGATTATTTGTAAGACTTCAAGGACTCACTGGACCTTTATCTGCCTCTCCCTGCCAAATTCGTACTGATAATGATTTAGGAGGAGAAAGAAAGGGAGATGCCTCAAAATGCTAAGCTCAGAGTCAGGAAGGACTTTAGTTACTTCAGTCTTAGAACTCTGTGGGAAGAGTTGATAGGGTATGGCCTGGAGGTAGTACAGCTGTTTGCAGTACTAAAAACAAAGTATCAGATCCTTACAGGCACACACAACCATTGTTCTGTGACTGGCGTAGGATAGAAGGTTGGGATGGGAGATGAAGCAGGTAAACTGTAACCGACAGAGGTCCCATCCTCTGTTACAGAGAATGTCAGGGCTGGATCCCTGGGTGGTTCAGTCTGTTAAGCATCTGACTCTTGATTTCAGCTCACGTTGTCGTCTCGCTGTTAGTGAGTTCCAGCCCCATGCCGGGTTCTGTGCTGATAGTGCAGAGCCTCCTTGCGATTCTCTCTCCCGCTCTCTCTGCCCATTCTCTCTCTTAAAAATAAACAAATAAACTTAAAAAATTAAAAAAAAAAAAAAAAGAATGTCAGGTGGGTCAGGAAGCAATCAGGATTTAGTGTTCCATAAAGCTATGGACCTGGCCCCTCAAAGACCAGATTTAAGTCCTGCAAAATAAGAGAAATTTTTGCCTAGCATTGAAAGGAGAATCTTCTAGAACAATACTCTGTAATGCAGTGAATTAAAACTGACCACCACTTTGATAATGTTAATGGAAAATGGCCATTCTCTACAGGCATGTATTGTTTTTCAATTTTTAATGTGTATTTATTTTTGATATGTAGAGAGAGACAGAGTGCAAGCAGGGGAGGGGCAGAGAGAGAGGGAGACACAGAATCCGAAGCAGGCTCCAGGCTCCGAGCTGTCAGCACAGAGCCTGACATGGGGCTCGAACCCATAAACGGTGAGATCATGACCTGAGCCGAAGTCTGGTGCTTAACCAACTGAGCCACCCAGGCACCCCCAGGAATGTATTCTTAATCATAATTAACATTTACTGAGAACTTCTGTGTCATACAGACTGCTGGTCTTTGTATACATTATTTCATTTCATCCTCACAACTATTCTTGACCACTTAACATCACTTCTGGCTGAAGATAATAAAACTGAGCCTTACTGAAGTCTCCAAGTAACTTTAACTCTTGTTCAAAGTCTCACAGCTGGCAAGTGGGCAGGGAGAGATTTGAATGCAGTCTCAAACCCTCCAAACTGGATTCAAACCCCTATGCTATGAGAACAGTCTGGAATGACCTTTTTTTTTTTTTTTTTTTTTTGGTAACGATTTAGTGGTTAAAGTCTGACCTGTTGGGGAAAGGAAAGAACAGAGGACACACAGACTCAGAATAGACAGGATCTAGCAACAAATGTGTCGGTAGCATGGTCACTTCTCTGGTATAAGGGGTTTTGAGGGCAAAAATGGTGAAAAGCTATGGAAATAATGAGAACATAAGAGTGAGGTAGTGCTGATAACATCAGCACTGAAATAGGGCCAATGAAGAATTCCACTATTCACTGCGCACTTGCTGTAAAGGCACTAAGTCTGGGATACGGCAAGAAGGAGGTATTCCAGAAGAAGCCACCCAGCAAGTAGAGACACCCTGATCAGAATGTCACCCTGATCAGAAAATATGAAAAGGGTGGATCGTCTGACCAGATCATTGTCCCTGGATATGCCTTGAGCAGAAGATAGCTGCTAACCACAGGTCACATAGGCCCAAATCAATAGGACCCAGCCTGTAGGTCCAGCCCCATTCCTGCAGGAGTCCATTATGGGGAAAAGGAGGCTATGGACGAAGATAAGTAATCTACAGAAGATGTCACAAAGTTGCCCAGTTTCCTGGTCACATGCACTGCTTCTGTTCTGCATGGGCATGGGACTGACCAGCACATTCCCTTCAAGCACGTAGGAGTCTATGACCCTGAGAGGAAGCCAGAAATACCAGAATAACCAGTTAACACATTGCCCATTTCTCCAACTGCCACAATGTAATGTGTGGGTGGGGAGCAGAAGATCTTTGCGTGGAATTGAAATATTCTTCAGAGAACACAGTGTCTATGTTGTATGCTCAGTGGTCTATGTGTTCAGATCTTCCTTTTACCACTTATTAGATTGACCTTGAGAAATTACTTACCTTCTACAAGTCTAAATTTTCCCATCCATCTGATAGGCTTGATAATAATAACGACTACATCATAAGATTATTTTGAGGACTAAGTCACAACATACAGAAAACATTTATCACAGTGAATAGCATATAGTAAAGGTCCTATATGGGGGATTATAGAAATACTTATGTATTAGAGAAAAAAATGTTAGTTCATGAACTGGCACAATGTTTCGTATTTTATAAGAACATTATTGATCATTTTTTTTAAATGCACAATGCCTCAAGAGGCTCATTGAGTAAAGAAGATGAAATTTCGTGTAGAAAAGGTAAATAGCATGACCTGGATGAGCTGGAGTTAGAGCATATTTAAGATGCTTGCTGTGCTATCTGTGCTGTTCTGTAAACACCTTCTGTGCCTTCCTGTCTTCAGCTAGAGTCGGCTACTCACACAGCCTCTGTGAGGGCCCAGGGCATGAGTTGGGAGAGTGTAGTCCTCAGGATCATGTGGTGCATGTGGAAAAGAGTGTAAAGTGGATAGAATGCACAAGATGAGATGTGTAGAGTGGGATTGAGAATGCTGCAAAAGCAGGAAATCTGAGCTAGTGATGAGCAGGAGAAATGCAAGCCTCCCAGGAGTTCTTGGAGACACTCAAAAGGAAAATGGATATCCAACTACATGTGCAATGGGAGTTTGAGCAAATTTTATTTAAATCTTGAAGTACTGGGTAGCCACAGCAGGTTCAAGGACTCTGAGGACTTACAAACAGCTGATACTTAGGTTACAATCATTACTTTGATTCCAAACTTAATAATATTCGTCAATGGTTGACAAAAATGGTGATGCGTCTTGAAGTACTCATTTATCTTTGTTTTCATGAAGGCATTTGTGTTCTGCTGAAGGAAGGCACAGTGGGCTGAATATAAGCTTGCCAAAGCCAAATCCTAATCCCCAGAACCTGTGAATATGATACCCGGGTAAAAGCAGTTTTGCAGCTGCAATTAATTTAAGGATTTTGAGCTGAGGAGATTATCCTGGATTATTCAGGCGGGGCCAGTGTAGTCACAAGGGTTCTTTTTTTTTTTTTTTTTAATTGTTAACGTTTATTTATTTTTGAGACAGGGAGAGACAGAGCATGAATGGGGGAGGGTCAGAGAAAGAGGGAGACACAGAATCTGAAACAGGCTCCAGGCTCTGAGCTGTCAGCACAGAGCCAGACGCGGGGCTCGAACTCACGGACGGCGAGATCATGACCTGAGCCGAAGTTGGATGCTTAACCGACTGAGCCACCCAAGCGCCCCACAAGGGTTCTTTTTAAAAAATTATTTATTTATTAAAATTTACCTCCAAGTTGCTTAGCATATAGTACAATAATGATTTCAGGAGTAGAATCCAGTGATTCATCACCTACGTATAACACCCAGTGCTCATCCCAACAAGTGTCCTCCTTTCTGCCCCTTGCCCATTTAGCCCATTCCCCCACCCACAACCCCTCCAGCAACCCTCAGTTTGTCCTCTGTATTTAAGAGTCTTTTATGTTTTGTCCCCCTCTCTGTTTTTACATTATTTTTGCTTCCCTTACCTTATGTTCACCTGTTTTGTATCTTAAATTCCACATATGAGTGAAGTCATATGATATTTGTCTTTCTCTGACTAACTTCACTTAGCATAACACACTCTAGTTCCATCCATGTTGTTGCAAATGGCAAGATTTCATTCTTTTTGATTGCCGAGTAATATTCCATTGTGTATATATATATATATATATATATATATATATATATATATATATGTATATATATATATATATATACTACATCTTCTTTATCCATAAATCAGTGGATGGACATTTAGCTCTTTCCATAATTTGGCTATTGTCTACAGCACTACTATAAACATTGGGGAGCATGTGCCCCTTTGAAACAGCACCCCTATATCCTTTGGATAAAACCTAGTAGTGCAATTGCTGGGTCGTAGGGTAGTTATATTTTTAACTTTTTTTGAGGAACCTCTATACTGTTTTCCAGGGTGGCTGCAGCAGTTTACATTTCCAGCAGCAGTGCAAAAGTGTTCCTATTTCTCTACATCCTCGTCAACATCTGTCATTGCCTGAATTGTTAATTTTAGTCATTTTGAAAGGTGTGAGGTGGTATCTCATTATGGCTTTGACTTGTATTTCCCTGATGATGAGTGATGTTGAGCATTTTTTTTCCTGTGTCTGTTAGCCATCTGGATGTCTTCTTGGGAAAAGTGCCTATTCATGTCTTTTGCCCATTTCTTCACTGGTTTATTTGTTCTTTGGGTGTCGAGTTTGATAAGTTCTTTATAGATTTTGGACACTAACCCTTTATCTGGATATGTCATTTGCAAATATCTTCTCCCTTTCTGTCAATTGCCTTTTAGTTTTGCTGATTGTTTCCTTTGCTGTGCAGAAGATTTTATCTTGATTAGGTCCCAGTAGTTCATTTTTGCTTTCATTTCCCTTGCCTATGGAGACACGTTGAGTAAGAAGTTGTTGTGGCCAAGGTCAAAAAGGTTCTTGCCTGCTTTCTCCTCTAGGATTTTGATGGCTTCCCATCTTACATTTAGGTCTTTCATCCATTTTGAGTTTATTTTTGTTTGTGGTGTAAGAAAGTGGTCCAGGTTCATTCTTCTGCATGTTGCTGTCCATTTTTCCCAATACCATTTGCTAAAGGGACTGTCTTTATTCTATTGGGTGTTCTTTCCTCTTTTGTAAAAGATTAGTTGGGCATACATTTGTGGGTCCTTTCTGGGTTTTCTATTCTGTTCTGTTGTTCAAAGTGTCTGTTTTTGTGCCAGTACCATACTGTCTTGATGATTACAGCTTTGTAATACAGCTTGAAGTACAGGATTGTGATGCCTCAAGCTTTGGATTTCTTTTTCAGGATGGCTTTGGCTATTCAGGGTCTTTTGTGGTTCCATACAAATTTTAGGATTGTTTGTTCTAGCGCTGTGAAGAATGCTGGTGTTACTTTGATAAGGATTGAACTGAATATGTAGATTGCTTTGTATAGTATCAACATTTAAACAATATTTGTTCTTCCATTCCATGAGCATAGAATGTTTTTCCATTTTTTTGTGTGTCTTCTTCAATGTCTTTCATAAGCTCTCTAGTTTTCAGTGTATAGATTTTTCACTTCTTTGGTTAGGCTTATTCTTAGGTATTTTATGGTTTTTGGTGCAATTGTAAATGGAATTGATTCCTTGATTTCTCTTTCTGCTACTTCATTATTGCTATAGAGAAATGCAGCCAATTTCTGCGCATTGATATTTATATCATGCAACTTTGCTGAATTCATGGATCAGTTCTAGCAGTTTTTTGGTGGAATCTTTTGGGTTTTCCACATAGAGTATCATATTGTCTCAGAGGAGTGAAAATTTGACTTCCTCCTTGCCGATTTGAATGCCTTTTATTTCTTTGTGTTGTCTGATTGCTGAGGCTAGGACTTCCAACACTATGTTGAATAACAATGATGAGAATGGACATCCTTGTCGTGTTCCTGACACAAAGCTATCAGTTTTTCCCCACTGAGGATATTAGCAGTGGGTCTTTCATATATGGCTTTTAAATCTTGAGCTATGATCCTTCTATCTCTACTTTCTTGAGGGGTTTTTATCGAGAAAGGATGCTCTTTATCTCTCCTTCTACTTCGAATGACAGCCTTGCTGGATAAAGAATTCTTGGCTGCATATTTTTCCAATTCAGCACATTGAATATATCCTGCCACTCCTTTCTAGCCTGCTCAGTTTCTGTGGATAGGCTGCTGCAAACCTGTTCTGTTTTCCCGTATAGGTTAAGGACTTTTCTCCCTTGCTGCTTTCATAATTCTTTCCCTGTCTGTGTATTTTGTGAATTTGACTATGCTATGCCTTGGTGAAGATTGATTTTTGTTGAATCTAATGGGAGTTCTCTGTACTTCTTGGATTTTGATGTCTCTGTCTTTCTGCAGATTAGGAAAGTTTTCCACTATAATCTGCTCACAAAAACCATCTAACCCTTTTTCTATCTCTTCATTTTCTGGGAATCCTCTAATTCAGATGTTATTCCTTTTTAATAAGTCACTGAGTTCTCTAATTCTTGTATCATGCTCTTTTGCCTTAATTTTCCTCTTTTTGTTTTGCTTCATTATTCTCCATAATTTTGTTTTCTATATCACTGATTCTCTGCTCTGTTTCATCCATCCTTGCTGCCGTGGCATGCATTTGAGATTGCATTTCGGTTATAGCATTTTTAGTTTTGTCCTGACTACATTTTACTTCTTTTATCTCCATACAAAGGTATTTTATGCTTTTTTTTAACCCCAGCTAGTATTCTTATTATTGTAGTTCTAAATTATAGTTCAGACATCCTACTTATATCGGTGTTGATTAAGCCCCTGGGTATCATTTTTTCCTGTTCTTTCTTTTTGGGTGAATTCTTCTTTTTGTCATTTTGAAGGAAGAAAAAGAATTAATAAAATACAAAATTAAAATTAAAAACTTAAAAACAACACAAAAATCAAATAAAGGAAACAAGATCCTAGGTGTTTTGGTCTGGTTGTTGAGAAAAGCTTGATATAATAGAGAAGAAAAGGAAAGAAAAGAAAAAAATGTAAGAAAACGTTTAAAATTTTAAAAAAATGTATATGATAAAATAGAATAAAATGAAATAGAATTTTAAAATTTACAAAAAATAAACATAGTAAAAAGAATTAAAAATTTGTTTATTTATCTTTGAGAGAACACAAGTGGGGTAAGGGTAGAGAGTGGGAGACATAGGATCTGAAGCAGGCTTTGCGCTGACTGTCTGAGAGAGGCAAGCCTAATGTGGAGCCCCAACTCACAAACTGCAAGATCATGACCTGAGCTGAAGTTGGAAGTTCAACTGACTGAGATATCCTGGTGCCCTGACACACTTTATTTTTATCTTCTATGTCTTCAACTGTATTTTTAGCAGTACCTATTTTCCCTTGTGCTCCTTTCAACTCATTTTGTTCTGTGAATGATTTTATATTTTCTCTTTTCTGATTTCTCCCAGCTTATATTCTATCACTTTCTATTTCTTCACCAAACTTCTCAAACTCAAAGAATTATTAATATTACTGCTGTTAGTTAAATAAATGAGCCTATAAAAGAAATTGTGTTTCAAGTTGCATATGTGTCTGGGTAGTCAGAGTAACGTCAAGGTATTCCAGATAATATGAGGAAATGTTGAGGAAAGAAGGTTGTGTTACCACCTACAAATATAATTGTATAGTGGATTTTTGCTCAGGTGTTATCAAAGAGTGTATCCTGAAAATAGGGGCAATCAATGGATGAACCTTCTTATAATAGCTAATTCTGCTCTTATTGATAATATGTAGTAGAAGTGAGTTACTAGTATGTGTCATGAAGAGCAATGTCTAGTGAAGAGTTTGCTAATACAGTGCCTGGTAAGCCTCCTATGGTAAATAGGAAAATAAAGCCTAAGGCTCATAGTATAGCGGGGGATCATTCAATGTTGACTCCATGAAGGGTGGTGAGTCAGCTAAATATTTTTATTCCTGTGGAAATAGCAATGATTATGGTAGCTGATGTGAAGTATGCTCATGTATCAATATCTATTCCCAAGGTGAACATGTGGTGAGCTCATACAGTGAAACCTAGAAAGCCAATAGATGTTATTGCTCAGACTATTCCTATCTCTGCTCCATGTTCTTGTATTATAGAGGTAATTGCTTAGTTAAGATTTGCTCATGTATGTTAAATATCTGGTGGTAATTTTTGTTTGCTCCTTGGTAACATTATTCTAGTGAGTGTTCTTAACTTGTTAGTTGATTTTCCTTTTCCTTTCTTCTTCTGCTTCTTCTCCTTCTCCATCTAGTACTTTATGTGACTCCTGAACAAATTTATTTTTTAAAATTTATCAGTGAAACAGATCATTTCCCCAGTTATTTGCAGGAGTTTTAGGGAGTGAGAGAGGACCAACACTTTGTGGCAGAATAGCTGGATAGGTAACCATAAGTTTTGTTTGTTTATTTGTTTAACAATATAAAATCTCTCTTCCACTGCTATAGAGACAGATTGCTTCATTAAAAATGGCCCCTTTGTATGACTTCTCATTTGGCTTTGCCTTCACCAATATTTGGAACCAAACTGAATTCCTGCAGTTAATGCATGTTCCTTCTAACTATTATTGTAGACCTGGGATATAAGTTTTTGTACCTTTGTGTGTGTGCCTCTGTTCCAAGAAATGTACTTTTATTTTGGATCTTTTGAGCTATACAGTTGCAGCATTTGCCCCAACCCCTTCTGTTTCTTTGTGAGCATTTGCCTGCTTGATCCAAATTGATTTTGAAAGCTTTTTAACCTATTTTATGGTTTGGAGTTTTAACTGTCTTCTAGTTTTGCCAAAAACAACTTTAGTGTTTTGTTTCTCTTTTTCTTCATTGGTTTTGGATGATTTCCAGGAAAGGAAGACAGAAATGTCAATTTTATGCCACTATTTTCAAACAGGATATTTCTATCTTAAATTTAGACATTCCTCATCCTTGCTCTCCTCCCCCCACTTACATTCTTCCTCTTTGTAATTTATCTGAGTTCATAGTCTCATCTGAATGAATTACTATCAAATTGTCATCTTTATCCCTGGCTTCTCTTCTTTTGATTATTCTCTCCTTTGCCTATTGTCATCTTCACATGGATATTTCTAAGAAATCCCTTATATTACTGTCCTTCTCTATACTATACTTTTTTTTAAATTTTTTTTCAACGTTTATTTATTTATTTTGGGGACAGAGAGAGACAGAGCATGAACGGGGGAGGGGCAGAGAGAGAGGGAGACACAGAATCGGAAACAGGCTCCAGGCTCTGAGCCATCGGCCCAGAGCCTGACGCGGGGCTCGAACTCACGGACCGCGAGATCGTGACCTGGCTGAAGTCGGCCGCTTAACCGACTGTGCCACCCAGGCGCCCCTCCTTCTCTATACTTTTATGTTCCTGATCTTAGTCAATGGCATCACAGTTCTCTCAGGTCATCTAGCTGAAAATCCTAGAATTAAATTTGTGTGCTTCTTTTTGTCCATTCTATATTCAAAATTTTTCCTACATCATCTTTTTCTTTTTCTTTCCACTGTTATCATTCTAAACTGGACCCCACACGTAGATACTGCAAACTATTATTCTTGTATGCCTTATCCAATGCCAATTCAACCATTCACTGTGTCAGAGTTAACTTCCTTAAATACATCTCATTGTGTTATTCTTTTCCTCAAAAACCTCCATGGCTTACCAACATACACATAAAAATCTCTTTGACCTTCCTTAAATTGACATCTGGACTGTCTACCAACATAAAATTGTTTCCTAAGAATACTCTTCATTCCTTTATTACATAACTTTTCTTTGTTCTTTACCTGGTAGGTCTATTTCTTCATCCTCATTTGCTGATATTCAAGGTTCTGCTTAATGAGGCCCTTTCAAAATATCCATTTGTAGTTATTTGCTCCTTTCTCTACACTCTTAAAATTCTTTTTTTTATACTTACTTTTTGCACACATTGTTGCATGTTGTGCATGTGTTTGCCTTCCCCATTCCTATCAATTCCTGAAACACAGGAACAGTGCCTTTTTCAACTTATATTATCCATATCACATAATATATAGTACTTGCATAATGAACGTCATTTCTTGATTTGAATTTAAATAAGTTATGCTAACAGATATTTGTAGTATATCCTAGTGAATAAACATACATAAACTTATTTTTATATACAATAATTATATACATATCTTATATATAATTATATATATTGCTAATATAGTATATTATATATAATAATATGTATTATATATATGTATTTTTTTTCTTTCTTTCTTCTTGGATTCTACTTTATTTGGTAAAACTCAGAAGCTAACAACCAATTCACTTCTCTCTGAGGAAGGCAGTTGACCAAAGACAAAAAGCTGTTGCTTGGGCATCACCCAAGCAATATAAAACTATCTCCAGGTTTTATACTCAGGCAATCCGTGGCCTAGTGGTCAGGCCTCCAAATCCAAAGCTCTCAGAAGAAATAAAAGAGAGTAAAAGGGAGCTCTCATTTTGAGACAACAAAATCTTCTTGCTCCTCTTTTCCCCTACCCACAACCTGCCCATCCTCTAGCTTCAACAAAGATAATAGAAGACAAAGCATGAATGTGAGAGATAGACAGGCATACAGACACACACACACACATACACACACACACACACACACACACAATTTTCTTTCTTTCAAAGAGCTACAAAATCCCTGCCTGGAAGGAAGACAATTGGCAACACCACTCAAGGCTTGGTGGTCCAAAGTGATGGTTGGAATCGTGTGGAACTGGTAAAAATTAAGGGGAAAAAACATTTCACTGTCAGCTCACTTCCAGATCTCCAGTGAACTGGTTTCAGTTTTAGGAAATCCTCATTTCCAAAAGAAGTGGACTGTGGCCTCTGGGGCAGCTGGTTTAGGGAAAGGTTTCCCATGATAAGGAAGTCAATGGTGGGAAATGGAGAATCAGGGTAGGAGGGCAAAGCCTTTGAGGAGAGTGTAGGAAAGGAGATCCTTGCCCTTGGATATTTATAAATAAATAATATATTATGATATATAATAAAATTATCAATATTATTTATTGTGTTATGTAGCATACACTTAAAATTTGTTTGAATTTTTATGTACTAATACAATATCTTTTAGTATGCCTTTAATTTTTATTTTCCAGTATATATTTTTTAAAAGCCCCTGCATCTACCTTTCCAATGGTTTGAAAAATTTGCATGGTGAGGTGTATGTATCCTGGTTATCAGGAGATTTAACGCTTTTTAACTTGTTATGGTGTTTACTGTCCTTCCTCTGCAACATATTACTAATTGTTAGGTATTCTTTCCATTTATTTCTCAAAGCATCAGTAGCACAAGGTTGTTGTAGATTTCCTGAGTTTTACTTACAGTTTGGGGTTATAGAACATTGTTAGAGTGCTCAGCACAAAAACTTCCCAGCCACCTCTGCCATATGGAAGTTATCACTGCACAACCTTCTTAGGATTCTCCTTGCTGATTTCTTGCTCATCTATTCCTCCCAATCCTCAACTATTTTGCAAGATACTTCTCCATAATTCTGTAACTCCCAAAGTAGTTATCTATTTTACCTTCCAGGAAAAGATTCAAAATTCTTGTTGCTTTATATATCAAGATGCTTTTAGTAGGTACAGAAAACCCTATGCAAAATGGCTTAAGTCACTAAAATGTTTATTACCTCATACATGAAGTCCAGAGGTAGGGAGGTTCTAGCTGGAGTTAAAGGTTCAATGACACCATAAAGTACCCTGGTTCTTTAGAGTTTGCTTTTCTTATCTACAATCCTTAATGTATTGCTTTCTTTCCCAGGCTACCTCTCTTCACAAAATATCTGCAGCAGTTCTCAGCATCATAATTAAACACAACATTGAGAAGTACAGAGAGATTGTCTCCTCCAGTTTCTTATTCTTAAGGGAAGAGAAATCTTTCCCAGAAGCCTCCACTCAGAACTCCCTCACATACCTATAGGAAGCCCCAGCCCTCATGCATCACTGACTTAGATAGGCAAGATTTACTTCTGAGTTAGGGATATGCCCACTTTTGCATAGGAATTCAAATTCTCAAAATATTGTAAGCATGGAAGAAGTAGGGAATTAATTTTGTATAGGCAACCAATAGTGCTTGCATACTTCATTATGCATCACAATTTAATACTTTCTGTTCTTCTTTAAATTTTTTTTGCCTAAAAATATCGATGGGGGGAAATTCATCTTTATAATCATACCAATATAGTGAGGTATCTTCTCTAAAGAGAAGTGCAGTTTTTTTGTTTGCTTATTTTGTTTGGTGAGGAATTCTGCTTTCTTGGGCTCATCAGCTCAACCTGCAGCAATTAGCTGCTACACAACATGTTTTTTCCATCTTATGATTTTTTAATTTTTAATTTGTCTTCAATTTTGCAAGGTCATAGTGAGAGCATATCTAGGTCTTTAAAATTACTTTATTTATTTATTTATTTATTTATTTATTTATTTATTTATAAGTGTTTATTTTTGAGAGAGCGAGAGAGCGCGCATGCATGTATGGGCACATGAGCTGGGAGGGGCAAAGAGAGAGGGAGACAGAATCCAAAGTGGGCTGTTTGCTGACAGCAGGGAGCCCGATGCGGGGCTTGAGCTCATGAACTGTGAGATCATGACCTGAGCCCAAGTTGGGCACTTAACTGGCTGAGCGACCCGTGTGCCCCCCCTTTTTAAAGTTTATTTATTTATTTTGAGAGAGTCAGAGAGACAGTGAGTAAGGGAGGGGCAGAGAGAGAGGGTGAGAGAGAATCCCAAGCAGGCTCCATGCTGTCAGCACAGAGTTTGACAAAGGGGTCAATCTCCCTACCCTGAGATCAGCACCTAAGCCAAAGTCAAGAGTTAGACTCCCAACTGACTGAGCCGCCCAGAAGCCCCTAAAATTGTCTCCTTTTCATCAGGCAAATTTCCTCTTTCTTGTTGTAAGAATCAGAAAGAGAACTAGTTTCAACAGAGTATTGGTTTTTTGGCTTCATTGCCTTCACATCAATTAACACTTTGCCTTGGCTCTTAACCTAGTAGTGATGAGGCACAGAAAACCACTGGATTACTTCAAGAAATTTATTCTGCCTGGTT